CTGGCTCTGTCTACGAAATAATTCATAAGTAAATGAAAAAAAAAAAAAAAAAAAAAAGAAAAAAAAACCTACACTGAGAATGGAGGAAGGTGTTTTTTAAATTTGTATTTGAAGGGGGCAGGAAGACAGCATAATTCAATTCTTATCTGCCACTGGTGACAGTAACTGGTTTACCTTAAGAACAATAGTTGGCAAAGGCTGCATCAAACCCCTGAGAGTTTCTAAATCTTCAGAAAATTCTATGAGACGAGACCCAATTCAAACCTCATTTTTTAATATGAGCTGTTTAATTTCTTCTTGCTTCTTTCACTGCTTTTGAGATATGATGTGAGGCAATAAAACATGATTGAACAAGTAGCTGATGTTTATAATACCTGATTGCTGCTCTGCTGATCCCATAAGTAATTCAATGCTAGGCAGTATTCCTGTGGTATGTCTTTCAATGCATCTTTCTAGGATACAAGAAGAGAGGGTACGAACCAAGTGCTTCATGATAAAAGATACAAGCTGGCATCTTTTAATGGCCAAAAGTTTACAGACTGTAATTGAGTCACTCACTAAATAAGAACTGTAACTTCATAGCATTAATCTGAGGAACAGAAAGAGTGAAACTTCTTTAAAGGTTTCTGGAATATGGTGATGGAATTACCTGTGTGTACACCATGATTCATTTAAAATAGATATTTTATCCAGCAGTGACATTGTTATAAGGAAAAAATATGTATATATATATCTTGGAAAAGAGATTCTCTCTTTAGTTTGTTCTTGGCCACCACAATGAAGCCTGCCTACATTCAGATATACTTGTGTGTTGCAGATTAACACTTTACTTACTGAGTGATTTTTTTTTTTCCTACAACAGCTGAAGTGCCAAAATATATTTTTAGTTGTGACATAGAGAATATAATGCCAGAACCCAGCCCAGTGAACCCACTGTCTAATGCTGTCTAATGCTGTCCTCAGATAATGCCAGACCCCAAGAACTTTTCCTAAATTATATGAAAGCTTGCCTATGCAAAATTTCAATTGACTAGTAATATAAATATAACACTGTGCTGTGTTAGTTCAGTGTGTAGAACTGTGTGATACCATAAGCACTGTTTCCTAATGGTTAAACTCCACTTCTCTCCATAAACAGTTTCCAGTTGGCTGGGCATGCCTCCCTGATTGTGCATACTCTGCTGCCAATTTACTCAGTACGCCAGCTCATATAAATAGACTGTTCCTGGAATTATGGCAGCTCAGGAGGACCTTTGCAGGATCCGTGGAGAAGGGGTTAATGGGATTAATGACATTTCAGAGAACACATGGTTTCTTGACTGGACACACAGAAATGGCCCTTTGGCTGAGCTGAAGTATCCCAGAAGTATCCCCACGAACACGGTCCCACCGTCACAGACACGTTTATAACCTGTCACATGGTGCCCCGCGGTGGCTGCTTTCCCTCTGTTACATTTGGCAAAGCCAGCAACTGCTCAATTGATTTTCATTACTACTTTAAAAAAATCTTAATATCAATTAATGATTATTTGCTAATAGTCAGAATTCAACCATAAAACAACTTTTGTCAATTAGTGCCTGTTTCTAGTTCTCTTCAAAGAGGGAATAGTTCCCTCCACCTACTTACTTGAAGTTGATTTTGTGCTGCTTTTTAAGACATAATTAAGTAAAAAATCTAGCCATTAGAGTGTTTCTATTATTAGGTTCCTTTTTATTTGTATGGTTATCAAACTAAAACATCTTAATGTCTGATGAAGCTATCAACAATTAGAATGTGTGATTCTTGGTTCATTTTTTGTACACTTTTCAGGCTGTGTTATGTTAATTTGGTTTTTGATTATAATTAGTTTCTAGCACATTTCCATTTCACTTTCTCATATGAAATGCAACTTTTGTGCCACAACCAATAGTAAAGAGATGTTGAAAGATATTACCAAACTGTTTTGTTCACTTCACATAGGCATTTGTATTACTTCTGGAATTTTCTAAAATGTTTGGAAGTCTGAGCTTTGCTTCCACATATGTCTCCCTTAGAAAATAGTATTTATCAACTTATTTTCATAAGAGGACATGGGTGTTGATCCTGGCTGTGACTTATCAAGTGCTAGTGTGGAAAAACTGACCCCTAATACCCACAGTCCCTGCCGATCTCTTCATGATGAGAAAATCGGTAAGGCACAGAGAGGATTTCTTTTGTTCATTTCCAACAGACAGGCTGCACCGCTGCAAGATATCTAGGTGTCTGTGTGATGATGATATATAAATGTTTAAAATAAATAAATGATAGAATTACAGCGGCTGCATGTTTGCACAGGTGGTTCAGGCTGAGAAGTCCAATGAAATTCAACTTCTTGTAATGCAATCTATTGAAAATTGCTTAAGAAATGCTAGGTGGTTCATTCATACAAAGAAATATCTTTAAATAGATGACTGAAAAAATCTTTCAAAAAATCCGTACATGCAGTTCTTTACCTGTTTGTCTAAATGTTGCTATCTTGTAGTTACAACTCATGCCTAGAATATCTTGTTTCTATTTTCAGCTTGTCTAAAATGACTGCAGGCATAATCAAATATTTGCTTGCAAAGCAGCTATTGTTGTTTAAGGAGTTGCCACGTTGTATCTGTTCACTACAATCCCACTCAGCTGAAGCCTGTTGGGTTACTATGTGTATTATGCTATTCATTTTTGGTACAAAAGTAAATCATTTTTCCTTAATACTGAAGTTCTATGGGTGAAAAGGGGGATTTTGTATAGCTTTGTACTGTTATTTGATGCTATAGTTTCTAATTTTTGATATTTTGATAATTGAAAGTTGGGTCAGATAACTCAGGTCCATTGCTTTGACAGCAGAGATTTCTACATGAATTATGTTTGCTTTGCAGTTTATAAGCATTGATATGTTAAAACAGTGTTCACTACCAAGAATGTGGTAATTGATAAGAACTTAATGAAAATACTCAGAAATGACAAAACTACATCCCTAATGCAATTTCATGACTGCTGAATCCAGATATTTCAATATGATGTTCATAAATATACTGTGATTCCAATGTATAGGAGTGAGAAAGCTTGCTGTGTTTTGACATAATTCAGAGTTTTCTGGCACTGCTTTTCTATCAAAATATTTATTAGACACTCAAAAGCGGTGTATTTTAAAGCAGCAGTCCAAATACATGACTAATGCTGCTTGGACACCTTAACTGGGGACTTAAAAAGTTGCTTAGAAATACATCTCTGTTTAGAAGTGCCAACTTTGAAAACTGTAAAATCTTAATGAGAATTAGATTATGCTCTGGAAAATAAATGTGACAAACCTAGATTCTAAGCAAAACACCATTTTTTACTTTAAAGGGACTGTTATCCTTCTGTCCTTGCAAATCTTTATACAGTCTTACCTCGAGTAGGATGATCAGGAGCAATAACTCTCCCCAAAAGATAAATAGTAAGGGTACAGATAAATAGCAAGGGTACGGATCATCTGTAAGGCCAGAAGCCTTGTTGCAGATAACCGTGCTGCCAGAACCCCATTGGTTTCTTTCAGTGAAGAGACCAATGGTTAACACCAGAGGTCTTCTCACCAACAGAATCGTGTGAAGGTACCACAACCTGCATCAGCCAAAATCAGCAGGGCTAATCTATCTGCTGGTGAAGATGGATATGACCTACCCAGATTAAATTTTGCCTGCAGTGTGTCTTGGGGATTCATGTTGCCCCTTCTGCTAGCTGAGTTTTGCCACTGGCACACATAAGCATGGTAGGGAATGCAATGTCTGACTGTGATCTAACATACTTCGGCAAGGTGAACTCTCAAGCCTGAACACTGGCTAATTCAGTTCTGGGACTGTCCCGTGGAAGTGATCAGAGGTGAGGTGGGAGAGACTGTCAGTCTTGGAAACACGCTTAGAGCCTAATGGGATCTAGAAAGGCTTGGGGGTAGACTCTGAGCAACAGTTCTGTGTGTTTGTTTGTTTTTTGTTTTGTTTTGTTTTCCTGTAAACCATTGTGTATATGTCTGTGGGGAACTGTAAAAGAACCACTTTAGTGTATGGAGTGGAAATGGGCTCGCTTAAATGGAGAATTTTAAGGGTGGAGAGTACAAAGATTTCTATAAAGTGGGCATATGAGTAGTAGTATGTGAACAGCTCTCTGGAACTGAAGCTTTTAACATCATGATAGTAGATGAAATTTCTGAGGCAGGTCTTTAGTATATCCAAATCCATGCCTATTACTACCATGTGGAACGACAAAAGCTGCTAGCAGCAACCATCTCACTGTAATATGTGCCATCTTCAAAAATGTGGCATAAACCATTCAAATGTTTGGCAAAGTGTAAGACGTGAAATGTCCGTTTTACTGTGCCCTGTGCCTATGTGGAAGATTTTATGTTTTGGAATACTGCTCATAATTTCTTTTTGTACTACGTGGTGTCAATGTATGAAAGCTTGCTTCAAGTGTACTGACATGGCTCTGAAGCATTGAGAAGCCTTGTGTCGTCTCTGAACATTTGTGGAAGAAGAAAAGAAGCAGGAAGAAGGAAGAAGGAAAGAGAAAGGAAGAAAGAAACCAAACAAAACATTGAAAAAACAGTATGCACATCAGGTGCCAACAGCCAAAGGCAGCGGTAATGAATAACTCCAAATCTCACAACGAGGCACTGAAGGTTTACAGAAAAGGCAGTGCCAGGCCAGCTGCAGACCAAGAGCACGTCCCAGCCCCCAGCCGCCCAGCGAGGACACCAAGCGCTGGCAGGCCGGGGCTGCCGAGCCGGAGAGGATGCCGAGGAGCGCAGGAGGGCGGCTGCCGGGGCACGAAGGCGCCCACCTGCAAGGCGCCCGCTTCTGGCAGCGGGGCGGGAGGGCGGATGCAAGGCACGGAGCGGCTCCGGGAGGACACCCGACCCCCGTCCCCCCGTCCCCGGGCCGCCCACAGGGCTCCGTGCCCGGAAGGGGGCGGCCCGGCAGCGGCGGGGCCCGTGCCCACGGGCGGGGCGAGCGGAGGGGGCGGGCAGAGGGGGCGGGCAGCCGCAGCCGCAGCCACAGCCGCGGCGGGCGGAGCGCGGCGCTGAGTGCGCGGCCCGGCCCCGGCTCATTACTCAGCGGCCGAGGCAGGAGGCGGCGGCGGGAGGCGGTGAGCGCGGGGCCGGGGCCGTGGCCCCCGTGGGGCTGGGGACGGGGTGGGGGCAGCGGGGCCGAGGCGGGGCGGGGCGCGGGGAGCGGCCCCGCCGGGCCCGGTGCTTTGTTTACGGCCCCGAGCGGTCGCAGCGGGCCGGGAGGGAGCGGAGCGGAGGGGCCGGGCCGGCCCGGGGGGCTCCCGGTGTCTCCCCGCTGTCGGGGGGTTCCCCGCTGGGCTCGGTGCGGCGGGGCCGGGGGGGGCCGGGCGGGTAATGGCGGGGCCTCTTTGTTGGTGTGCCAGGAGGGGCTGTGGGCTCCTCCTCCTGCTTCCCCCGGAGCGGGGGGCACCGGCACGGCCCGTGCGGCCTCTGCTCCCAGCCCCGGCCCTCGGCGGAGGGGCTGCGGGCGAGGAAGGGGGCGTGCAGCCGTGTGTCAGCCGCCTCCGGGGTGAACTGCCGTGACCTTGCTTTGAAAACGCCTCTGGAAGCTGAAAATGCGCTTCTGGCGTGGGGTAACTGCTCCGGCTGTAAGGGCTTGGGGCAGGTGGGCAGCGTCTTTGATTCGCCTTTTCATCTTTCTGGTAAAAGGACCGAGCAGTCCCGTTGCAAATTTTGACTTGCGTCTTGGTTTCTCAGTGTTGCTGGCAGCATCCAGTTTTACTCCCACAGCCTGGTTCTTGAGGCTTTGCTCCGGAGTGGCTCCATCAGTGGAGCTTGACCAATTTACAAACACAAGTCCCACTTGATTATTTTGTTCCCCCAGCTACTGAAATGGATTTGAACAAATACTGAAATTCAAAAAACACTATCATATAGCAATGGGATTGCTGAGGTCTTTCAGACAATCCCCAAACCCTCCATGGTTTGGCCTATCTGATAATATAAACACAAAGAGTGTTATGCATCTTCCTGGAAGGAACTTATTGCTTGCCCTGGGGCATGTGCACATGGCATTTAGCATGCTTCTCTCACAGCTGGGTTTTGTTTACAGGTGTGGAGACTTAACTAGTGATGGCCTCAGTTCACAGGAGACCCAACCTCACTTTTAAAAGTGCATTTGTTGGCATCTCTAGGGCAAAACGGTATTTGAAATGCCTCTGACTTGGTCTATGCACTTGCAGGTTTATTGGTATATTAGATAATTTTGAAATGGCTCAAAATGTTACATGAAGAGAAACTGGGACAAATCTAGTTCGGAATACTGTCCAAAAGAGCTCACTGATTTGAGCACGTTCCTTGTGCGTAATGAAGGGAAACTCTTAGCTCTTCCAGTAGTAATAAGGAAAAATTAACTGAATTTCAAATGGTCCCATTCTATGACCTCAGTCTGGGGAGGGCAGCCGTCTTGCCTTTCCCCCATGGGCGTTCAAAGATGTGTAGCACAGACTGGTTAGGTGGTAGAGTGGTGATGCATCCCCATCATTTTCCCTTCTTTGCTGTCATTTTTGTCTTACATTCTCTCTTTCTTCCTCCAATGTTTGAATGCTCAGATGCTTTGATAGAAATACTAGGGAAATGATAGGGAAAGGAAGAATCAAACATCTACTAAACAAAACTAATCCAGCGTTTCAGAGTATACATAAAGCTGGCTGCATGGAGCTGTTGTCTGAACTCTGAAAAAAGGATTTTAATGAGGTGCTCCTGTGCGGGGTCTTCAGTTTCCCAAGCATTTTGGGCCAATGGTCTCTAGAAGCATTGAGTCATCTTGCAGAGCACCATGTATTTTGTGGAGGCTTCTAGGTCAGAAACCAGAGAAAAATGATCTGGTGTGGGTTTGAGTTGTGTGGTTTGGGACTGCTGGTCCTAGGTGGGAGAGTTGCCCTTTGTGTGTGGCTTCCATGTTTTAACTTGTAACCCACCTGTTGCAAATTCTCTAGGTTACCTTGTTATCTTGTCTGGTTGTTACACAAATAAGGAAATAAACAAGTGTTTGGGATTTCAGTGACTTAATCTTCTGCTTGCTACTTTCCTGAAATGATGGTTATTTCTTCTAGTTGTTTTGTCTCTGTTAATTTATTTTTAAACCATGACATAATGGGGTAGTATCTGAGATTTAATGTTAATGAGATTTAATTTGTTCCCTGTATATTTTCTTTGACTTTTTTATCTCTTGTTCCTCAACTGCCTAGACTGACTGCTTATTGTGTAAAAGATGCATAGAAAGAACGTGCTTAGCTCTTTGTTTCTGAGGTTTGATCCAGGGCTCTGGACTAATAATAAAAGTGACCTTCTTGATACTCTACAGAAAAGCATGGTATGCTATTTTCTCTCTCCGCTCGATCCATGGGGGGAAAAACATGCTCTCTGTGAATGCATAGATTTTTTTTTTCTAATGTATTTAGTGTATATATATAATATTCATTGCTGTATTTCTTTGTGATTTAGACTGATCTGATTTTGATTGTAAGTTTTTAATAAAGACAATATATTTTGTTGCTATGAATGTTTTCTTTAAAAAAACCCTAGTTCTTCATTCAAAACCTGCCGAAACAGACATCTGTTTACAATATGTACAATGTCTTGGTTTTTGAAATCTCTTTAAAAATTCAGTTTAAACTACTTGTGCTGTTTACCTGCTGAGAAGTTCATCACAGCTTGGACATGGATTTTGATAAATAACTTTTACTCTGCTGAATTAAGCATCTGAACACATAGTTTTCAAATCTTTTAAGAATCTCCTTGTTTAAACAGAGACAAATTTGCTTTTAAACTTGATAAAGGCCCTTTTGGCTGTCCTTGTTAACAGGTGAACTAAATTTGAAGAGGCATTGCTCCATGGCATATTTGTATCAAAATAAGTGAATGTTTTATTTGTGTAAGTTGTTTTATTTTTATTTTTTTTGAAACAGTTACTTCAGCATCAGTGAAAGATAACTGGCTGATAAAACCCTTGCTTTCAAGGCAATTTTAAGTGTTTATATTTCTATCACATCCATAGTTCCATGTTCAGTGGCTATCTTGCTTAAGCGATCTCTTTCCCTGCTGTTCCTCATTGCCAGCTGTTGTGGTAAAATAGATCAGGGAACTAACTGATTATAGCTGAAAAAAATCTTCCTTGTGGACTATTTTTCAGCTTGATTAATTCCTGTATGTGTCTAAACAAACAACTATGCTGTTATGAGGTAGAAAGACAAGGAGGCTGCTGAAGCAGGGGTTGCTCTCAGTTATGCACATGCATGAGGGTTCACAGGTTAAGTAGCAGTTGCTAAAAGACTAAAGCAGTGCAAGGGGATGGACCTCTTGTGTGTTGAGAAGTGCTTCTTCAAAGATGTGTGCAGACTGACTCTTCTGCTGATGTTACCTAAAAGTATGCTGAACAACCTGCTTATTTTGACTGAACGCACTGTGGAGGCCAGAAGAAACTGGGGAAGAGTACCTGCTAGGTGGTGAACATATGAATACAACTGCTTACTTAACCGATTGTATTATTTTCAAGAACACATAGCATCTAACCTTTAGGGTTGTTTTTTTTTTTTTTTTTTGCTTATCTGAAATGCCCTACTCCTTTTCTGTCCCACTTTTTATTCCAAATGTGGAACTCCAGGTGTAGGTCACTGAGTAGTTTCCCAAGATGTTTGTATCTATCAAATGTTGAGTGGAATTTTAGTGCTATTCATGCATACATGTATAAGTTTATCCTGTGGGAAATCAGCAGCCTTGCTCAATTGTGACTGATACTTCTTAAGAAATGTACTGTCAGAAGAATTTGAAGATGGTTCGGAGGTCAGGACTTGGTGATGGGTGGAGTACGTTGCTAGTACATTGCCTTGAAATTTAATGGAAATAAACAGTAATAACTGTAGTTAGGTATAATGTACCCTTCAGTTAAGGGGAATTGTTTCTTGAAGTGCTAAATCAAAATCAACCAGAACTGTCACATCCTTTTAAAATTCTCCTTAGTTGAAGTAAAAATTGATATTAGCTCAATGAATGCACCAAGCACATGGTAGCAAGACTCCTTTTGTACACTAGAAGACTTTTCTAGACTTACATAGCATAAGGAATACTTAATCTCACCATTTATTTCCAGAACAGCCAATGGTGCACCACAGTTTGCTTCTGCTAGAGCTTTTTGCAGGCTTTGGGTGAGAACTCCTCCAAGAGGCTGGAGCTGACAGCATCAACGTGATCTGAGTCAGTGCTGGCCTGTAACAGATCTCCTTCACAAAGAGGAGAACTGCCCAACCACCTGTGTTCAGAGAGTACTGTTATCTTAATGGTTCATCATTTTGTAAAATATTTTGGAGGTTTTTAAAGGGTGGTGGTCTTGATTTGTGTGTGAAGAGATGATGATCATGGTGTACCAAGCTTATAAGTAATAGCAATACACTTGTTCTCAACTTCAGATGTTCTTTTCCCTAAGTGGTTAAAAACTTATCCTTGGTTCTTTTTCTGTCCAAACTGTTTGCCTGTAAGCTTGATACCAAAATAAACCTCATAGTTGTTGTCCATATTGTCACTTTTATTGTTGGATAAATGCTGCTTGATGTGTGAACAGACGGGATGCTTATTAATCCTTCTCAGTTGGATCTTGTAGACTAATGCTACGTGGTGACTGGCAGAAAATGTACTTCAGTGGTCATCTGTGTTGCAAACAAAGCAAATACTGTATATGTGCTCATGTACATGCACTTCAAATAAACAAAAAGAGAAAATGCCAATTCTACAGTACTGCTGCAAAGCCTATTTCCTGTCATTATGGATGCGGAGTATTTAAAAAACAAAACCTCTGACAACTCTGGTCACTTAATTATGTTGATGTTTTACCAAGATTATTTTTTTTTTAAACTGTAGATCTTAAAAGCATGCAGGAAAATATCTTAACTCAATATTTACTCTTAACTATAAACGGTGGCTGAACTGCGTGTCCTACTCATTGTAGTCTGGGTAGTTCCTTCTTAAATATTTGCCTTGTATCCCAGTCTTCTGAACAACTCAGCTGTCTCCAGTCTGGTTTTGTTTGCAGTGAAATGAGAAAAGCAGTCATTTGCTATCACGTTCCTTGCTGTGATCTCAA